TCTTGTTGCCCAGGCTGGAGTGCAATGGCACGATCTCAGCTCACTGCAACCTCCGGCCCGCCCCCACTCCCAGTTCAAGTGATTGTCCTGCCTCAGTCTTCCTAGTAGCTGGGATTACAGGCATGTGCCATCATGCTTGGCTAATGTTGTATTTTTAGTGGAGACAGGGTTTCTCCATGTTGGTCAGGCTGGTCTCAAAATCCCAATCTCAGGTGATCTGCTCGCCTCAGCCTCCCAAAGTGCTGGAATTGCAGGCATGAGCCACCGTGCCCGGTGACAGAGGACCTTTCTAAACTTCAGTGTTTATCTGAAGTAACTGATGATATCTGATTTCCCTGATACTCTTTTCTTACTGGAATGGCCAGTGGAATATTCTTTATGTTTTGTTGTACATTGCAAAACATTATTTTATCACATTGCCTCATCAGATTCTCTTGAAAGCCTACACTAAGGGAAGGGTTCCAGTGGAAGTACTGTAATTAACTTGGGAGCTGATCCTAGGAAACACCTGGAGAGGGTTAAGGAAGCCAGGCAATGACTTGTAGACAACGGATAAAGGGTGTGTTGTCAAGCATGTTAGCAACGGGGACAACCAGAGCTCAATTTCACTGGAGACTCAGGGATCCAGTGTGGAAGCATACATCAGTGTACTTATCCACAATGAAGGGTGAGGAAGCTGAGGTATCACCATATCCCTGTTGGCCATTGGTTGAGGACAGCTTCCAGGGGCCTTCACTCTCTGGCACTCTGGCTTATCCTTTGTGCAGGAGAAGCTGCTCTCCAGGCAGAATTGTAGCATTTCCACTTGTAGAGGTGAGTATGGAGGAAATGGGGTCAGGGCAATGAGCATCTGCTACACATATTTTTAAAGTATATTTAAAAAAAACCCACCAAATAAAAAAGAATAAAAGATCCGCCCTTGCTGGGAGACACTTCTCCATGGGTCTCTTGCACTTCTGTACATCTTGTGAGCAGAGGCACTGGCTGCCTTTGTTCTGGACAAACTTTTTCAAGGATGTTTAAATAGTAATAGAGATATTATTTTCCTCTGAAGCAGAGGATGGTTTGTTTAGCACCCAGTATAATAAAGTTATTTCCTCCCTCCAGGTCAAAGGTCAGGCAGGCTTACTACTCATTTTATAAGACCTGGGTTCTTAAGTTAAGGGTTTCTCAACTGTGATACAATTGCAAACCCAAAGCCTGCATAACATCTACTTAGGCCATTGGTTTTTGCCCCCATGGGGCCTGAGGAACGAAGAGAAAGGATGTAAACATGAAGCTCATGTTGGTTGCTGAGCCATGAGTAATAAAGTCCTTTGTCTCGGACCCAGAAGGTTTGTGTTTTCTGCCAGCCTCTGTAAAATTGCAGTATGGTAACTTGTAGGGTAACTGCTGAAATCTTTCTCAGCTGTTGATCACCCTACCAAGCCAACTCAACTGATTTTTAAGACATTTAATTTAAAACGTAACTTCAAATTTAATAAAAAAACATTTAATAAAAAAAAAAAGAAGTATTTATTGCACTTTTCCTTTGTGGTTTTAAAATACAAAAGAGGTTGGGAAGCCTTGTAGAAATCCTCTTTAAAAAGCCAACTTTTGTGTTTCCTCTAAGATGTTCTAGCTTTTCCAAATTTTGTCATCGAGAATGCCAGCCCTCTTCTGGAAAATGCCTCTGAACATACACAGGTTGCCAAAATCACTGTGTCTGTCTCACCTCATGCTTCTCTGGTTGGAGATCCTGTCATTATTAATGCCAGTCCTGCAGTCCATCCATTTGTGCTGTGGTGTAGATCCACACATTTTTGGGAAGTAAGTATGTTGGCAAACAGTATCACTTGACATCACAAGGGCTCTAAAATGACATATCATTCTCTTTTTTCTTACCTTCTACTGTATGTTATTAATTTGGTGACCACTCTTTGGAACCCTATTATATGTCAGACTCTCTAGAAATCACTGGGGACATCAAGATCCATTTATTTCACAAGCAATTATTAATAGAAATGACAGATATGCACCTAAAGTAAAATAATTAATTAATTAATTAAAAGAATCTACTAAGACACAGGGAATTTCTTGCCTTCATGGAATTGGCTTGTTCATAGGGAGACAAAGTAATCAAGTGAATACACCCCAAAATATTAGGTTGGTCTAAATGTAATTGCGGTTCTTGCCACTACTTTTTTTTTTTTTTTTTTTTTTGAGACAGAGTTTCGCTCTTGTTACCCAGGCTGGAGTGCAATGGTGCGATCTCGGCTCACCGCAGCCTCCGCCTCCTGGGTTCAGGCAATTCCCCTGTCTCAGCCTCCTGAGTAGCTGGGATTACAGGCACGCGCCACCATGCCCAGCTGATTTTTTGTATTTTTAGTAGAGACGGGGTTTCACCATGTTGACCAGGATGGTCTCGATCTCTTGACTTCGTGATCCACCCGCCTCGGCCTCCCAAAGTGCTGGGATTACAGGCTTGAGCCACTGCGCTGGCCTGCCACTACTTTCAATGGCAAAAACTGCAATTCCATTTGCACCAACCTAATATAAAATTGTAAATGCAGTAACAGCCAAGAAAGGCAGACTCACAGTTCTGCGGGAGCCCCCAAAGGGGACATTTGAACTAGTCAGACTTCCCTGAGGAAGAGCTACATGAAAAGCAGTCTGAAGAATGCATAGGAATTAAACAGATAAAGAAGAAAAGAACATTCCAGGCAGAGGGAGCAGCATGTGTGAAGTCCCTGTAGCAAGAAGGAAGGAGCACGGTAAAAAGCCAGGACTGAGGGATCAACAGACAGGAGCCCAAGGGAAAGCACGGTGGGAGACCATACTGCAGAGGAGATGGGCGGGGGGGCAGAGCCTGCAGTGTCTGTGAGCCATGTCAGGAAGTTTTGTTTACCTAGATGGCTATATCATACCCAGCTAGATATAATATAGCGAATTTTTCCTTCTTGATCGAAGTTTAGGCAGGCTGAGTGTTCATTATAAGACAGGGGTCCCCAAACCCCAGGCCATGAGCCAATATCAGTCCATGGCCTGTTAGGAACTGGGCTACACACAGAAGGCGAGCTTCTGCCGGCAAGCAAATTACAGCTGTCCCCCATCACTCGCATTAACGCCTGAACTCTGCCTCTTGTCAGATCAGTGGCCATATTAGATTCTCATAGGGGTGTGAAACCTATTGTGAATTGCTCATTGGCGGGATCTAGGTTGTGCGCTCCTTATGAGAACCTAATGCTTGATGACGCCTCACTGTCTCCCATCACCTGCAGATGGGACCATCTAGTTGCAGGTAAACAAGTTTAGGACTCCCACTGTTGCTACATTTTGGTGAGTTGTCTAATAATTTTACTATATATTATAATGTAATAATAATACAAATTGTAAGGCCGGTTGCCTCGTCGGGAGGTTGGACACACCTGCATCCGGCACCAGGCTCTGCACTCGGCACCTAGCTCTGCCAATGGCTCCCCTGGAAGGCTCCAGCTGATGCAAGGCTCTTGGCCGGAAAACCCGCCCAACAACCCGCCAACCAATAGCGGCCCGCCCCATCTCAATCCCGCTCCCCGGGAGTCAATCAGGGCACCCAGCTGTTGCTCATTCCTCCTAGCCATGAAAACCCCATGCCCCAGGAAGTTGGTGCAACTTCCCTGGCCCCTTTCACCGGGACCATGGAACCTCGCCCAGGAGCTGAATATATTGGATTTTCATTTTCTTATACTGGCCTCAGTTTCCTCATTTTAAACTCGGGAATAACCCTTACAGAAATAAAGTGCCCAGTAAATGTAATGATCTTGAATCATCCTGAAACCATTCCCACCCAGTTTGTGGACATTGGCTTCCATGAAACCAGTCCCCGTTGCCAAAAAGGCTGAGGACTGATGTTATAAGGGCTCCAGGTTCCCTAAGGTTGGAGTTTCTCAAACCTTGATACAAACTCACTGCATGCACAGCATTCAGCGGTGCCCCTCTGCTTGGTCCCCATGGCATGGGAGAGCAAGGGGACCCTGTGAACATGAAGCTCATGCTGCTTTCTGTGCTGGAGTAATAAAGTCCTTGAGAGTAACATGTTGTGTAGCCAATCTAGTCTGGTCTGGCTCCAGTCTGTAGGTTGAGTTCAGGTCTGTCTCGTCCTTCCCATTCTCCTTGGGACACTGGCTAGAGGAGGGACATTACTCTCTGAGCAAAAGGAGGAGAGCAAGAGGATAAGCTCAGCCCCACATGCACATTTCAAGACCTGCGTCTGCTCATATCAATAGCTAAAACAAGTGTCACATATCCAAGCCATGGGCTGAAGAAATATACCCTGTTTTTATTAGGAGGAATTGCAAAGGCACATGGCAAAAGACATGAATATGGAGAAGATTAAAGAAGTGGGGATCTTAAATCCACCTCCCACATCTAAGAAACCACTGAGCAGTTCTGCAGAAAAGAGACTTGATTTTCTTACAGCTTAAATTGCTGCTGTAAAGGAGAACAGATTTAAAAGGGGCAGGAGAGGTCTGTTATGAGGCTCTTGAATATCCTTGGCAAACCTTGACATTGTCATACTTAAATTTGCTTCCAACTTTAGTTTGGTGTAAAATTTTCTCTCCTGTTTGTTCTTTATTAGATTTTTTT